TGGTCTCAAGTTGCAGTGGGGGAGGTTTAGATTGGATATTAGGAAAAACTTTTTCACTAAGAGGGTGGTGAAACACTGGAATGCGTTACCTAGGGAGGTGGTAGAATCTCCTTCCTTAGAGGTTTTTAAGGTCAGGCTTGACAAAGCCCTGGCTGGGATGATTTAACTGGGAATTGGTCTTGCTTTGAGCAGGGGGTTGGACTAGATGACCTTCTGGGGTCCCTTCCAACCCTGATATTCTATGATTGAATTTAACCTGCCATTTTCTCACCCAGATTAGTGAGACCTTTTGTAACTCTCTGCAGTCAGATTTGGACTTACTATCTTGAGTTAGTTGGCATCATCTGGCATCTCACTGTTCACCCCTTTTTACTGATCACTTATGAATATGTTGAACAGCACACATCCTTGGGGAACCCTATTTACCTCTTTCCATTGTGAAAACTGACCATTTATTCGTACCCTTTGTTTCCTATCTTTTAACCAGTTACTGATCCATGGGTGGCCCTTCCCTCTTATCCCATGACCAATGTTCCCTTTAACTTTTTCCACCTATGTGTGGAATGAATTTTGTTATGTGCACCAATATCAAGGTAATGTGTGGATGTGCACCACCAGTAGAAATCAAAAACCTAGATATAATATATATATTTAAAAGTTACCCTAGGGATAATGACTCCAGCCAGGACAGGTTGGGCATTTTAGAACTCACTACTCAAAGAATTAAATTTAAGCATAAGAGTAATAAAAATTATGAAATGCATAGACAAGTCAAAAAAATAAAATAGCACTTTGAAAGAATAAAATTACAGAGAACATATGTGCATTGCAGGAAGTATCATGAAGTAACAACAACAACACAAGTATGTGTTGGAAGGTGAGTATGAGTGTGTGTGTATATACATGTGAGACACAGAGACAGTGTATGTGTGTGTGACAGCATGTGTGTGTGTGAGACACACACTCACACCTCTCCCCTCCATGACCCCAAGGCTGGGGCTGATGGAGAGAGCCATCTCTCCCGTCCCCGCCACATCCCCAGCTGGAGCTGGGGGAGAGAAGCATCTCTCCCGTCCCGGCCGCAGCCCTGGCTGGAGCTAGGGACAGGAGAGAGGTGCATCTCTCCTGTCCCCATTGCAGCCGCGGCCGGAGCTGGGGATGGGGGAGAGAGGCATCTCTCTCCCCCCAGCCCTGCATTCCCCAAGCTCCCCCAAACGCCCATCACCTCACCCCACTGCCCCCACCCTCCACATTCTCCATGCTCACCTGTGTGTGCACCTGATGTGCATCCCTTGATGGCCTCGTGAGTGCACCTTCGAGGGAACACAGCCCATGACTGCCTACTGTACTTTGTTTAACAGCCTTTGGTCAGGGACCTTGTCAAAGGCATTCTGAAAGTTCAATATACTACATCGACTGGATCACCCTTGTCCACATGCTTGTTGACTCTCAAAGAATTCTAATAGATTGATGAGCCAGAATTTTCCTATACAAAAGGCATGTTGACTCTCCCGCAACATATAATGTTTATCTATGTGTCTGATAATTTTGTTTTTACTATAGTTTCAAACAATTTGCCTGGTACTGAAGTTAGGCTTACTGGCCTGTAATTGCCAGTAAGGTGGCAGAATTTCAAGGCTCAGTCATGATTGGTGAAGTTGTGCTGAACATGATTTAGTCCACCCTACCCTCATAGCTAAATTGTTTACACTTTACAGCACTGGTTCAACTACAACCATAGTTAATACCCCTTTCCAACAGAAACTATGTTACCTAGTATAGACAATGCTTGCCGCAATGTGGTTCCTTAGAATTCTTTTTAACAGCTGGGCTCCATCTACACTGTTTTCAAAATGTAAGCACTTTTCTAGGGAGAACCATGTTTAAATGTCATTTTCTAGGAAAGAACTAATCCAGTTTTAATTGGCACAGAGGGAACTTGTCTGGCAGGATCTATTATTATTACTGGTTACTTGTTATCGCAGTAGCAGCTGGACACCTCTACTGAAATTAAGGCTCCAATGTATAAATGCATAGCAAGCAGGGTGGATAAAAATGAATGATTTTTTTAATTTAAATCAGATTTTTTGGATAAAATACTTTTTGAGGAAAAAACTTATCTAAAGATACTTTTAATTAAGTAACATTATAAAAGATATCTCATCATGGAATAGGGATTATAAATTCTAATTCTATAGTATGAGACAATATATTCATGTAATGTTTAAGAGAAGTTTTGCAAATGAGTTCCAAAAATTCATGGATTAGGGACCCAATCTTATGGGGTTCCAGGAGCTTCTGTATAGATTATTTAGGTTAATCTTTCTATCTACCCAGTGGGACTCAGTGCTCAGTCTAGAAGATACCATCAGAGATGCCTGGTTTTGCCGTTCTCAAACTGTGGATTTGTGTCTCCAGAGGTAACATGCTTGTTAACAGCAAAAATATTTTTAAATAAATAAATAATATATAGAGGTGAGAAATAACAGACCTCAACTGTATTGTCTTTCTGTAAATTTGTAAATACAGAGTCAATCCCTTACCTCTCTCTAAAGCTGCAAAGTTTCAAAAAGTTCAACGAATAGAAGATTATTGGGGGAGGACTAGATCTGGACAAGGAGAAGAAGTCTGGAGATAAATGAGAAAAATGAGGGACATATGCTTGTTTTGTTAAAATATTATATGTTCGCTGTTGAAGAAAAAATCCAGAATACTTAACGCTGTTGTTTTAGTTAAATAAAACAATTTAAATGTCTGTCTGGTGATGTTCTCCTCCAAATACAGCATGACAAGAAAATCCTCCAAATATTAATGATTAACCCGTTGAACTGGAGATAGTTCACCTCCCAATGACTTCATAAATATCTGCTTCAATTACCTTTGGTAAATGAAATAACCAAACAAACATTCATTTTCTGATATAGCTCTAAAACTAATCTGAAAAGTTCTCAAAATAAATCAGTTTAAAAATGTACCTTCTAAAAATAAAACCTACATCTATCTCTGAGTTGTGAAGAATATGTATTAAGGTTATAACAACTAACAAGAATGCACTTTTATGTAGAAATCCATGATTAAATCGAGTCTTCCTGACTAGTGATTTAAATCATGAATTAATTTAATCATGATCAATTTGATTTAAATCAAATCCACCCTGATAGCAAGAGATGGTCCCTGCATGAAAGGATATACAATCTAAAGGGACAAAACAGACAACAGCAAACAGAAATACACAAAGGTACAGTTACTTGCTCAAGGTCACTCGGAAAGTTGGTGGCATGGCCAGGAATAGAGCCCTGGTCTCCTAAGCTCTAGTTTAGTGCCCTATTCACTGGACCATGCTATTCTATTGTGCATTATGAAATTGCCTAGGAGGACCAAGTAACAGTTCTGTAGAAAAACCGATGAAATTGTGAACACGCAACTGGAATCCTAGCATACATTAGTCTTTCCCCCACTAGAACTTCCCACTGTGGCTAACACCAGTGCAGCTCCACAGGTGAGAGCTCAAGTGTAGACAAACTGCCACTGTTTTTTTTAAACAATTGCATGATTTATATTCCATTTCAGCAGCGTTAAACAGTGTTAAATGTGGCAGTTGGAACCTTGTCTATATTAGTGCTCCCACCATCATTACCATCAACAGAGCTGTGTAGAGTGGCCTCCTCATGAGCAGGCGGGGCATAGCAGCTCTCCTTCATTCTGGCACCCTCTGCGGACATTCATGATGTTAGTCTCTCTTCCAGGGGAAAACAGCCCCTCCCACTATGCCAGATTCCAGCCCCTGGACCCTATAACTAGAGACAAAGTCCCACTCAGTATAGTCCCACTCTTTGCTGCTGTTTCCTTTGTCTTCTTCTTACCCAACCTCTCTCAGGCCATCTTCCCCACAACTTCTGTGGGTTGACCCTTCTTTCAAGGCTATGATCCCTGGCTTATTTTTTCCTCCCCAGGTTTCCTCCCCACCACCTCTTTGTTCCTAGGAAATAACTACACCATCTCTTACTACAGCCCACTTCTGCTCTCAACTTCCTGACTTTCTGTTAACCAGCTTGCTCTCACCAAACTGGCTTCATGATCAATTAAGCCTAGTTCTTCTTCCAGGAGCAGCCAGGTAACATAATTAGTCTCTTAGGCCCACATTAATCCTTTCAGGGACTGTGTGGGGTTCACACACCATTACAGGCCATTTATGTGGTAGCAATAATGGGAAGCATTAGGAAGGAAACAGACTAGATACAGCCTAAACAAGTTAAAACTTGTGTTCAAAATTACCACCTCTTGACCCCAGCAGTATATGAATGTGACTTTAAGGCTTCTCTACACTACAATTCCAATGAAGTTAGGAGAACCAGTAACTATGTAGCTCCCAGTTGTAGCATCAGTGGGACCTTCCAAGTCCAATTATGGAATACTGTTCAGGTTCCATCTACAGGAATCAAGTTGTCACTATGTGAAAGGACAACCCTTGTTATCACTAGGTCTCAGAATTCTGTTGTAATTATAGTAAAGATGGAAGCCACTTCTAGCATGTTAGTAGTGTTGATGTATATACCATGATGTATAATGTGCTATATGATACACAATTCACATTCAACTCAATAGGAGTTTTACCTAGCTATCTGAAAATAAGATTTAGCCCTGTGTTTCACTTTCTTTGTAGTGTGAACAGGGCCCAAAAGGGCACCTAGAAAATATTCAATTAGCTACATGGGTATTTGCCAAATCCTAAAAAATAGGAGGGATGGAGCCAATTATCTCATTAAATGAACTCTATATTACTGTTCGTTAGGCAGGCATATAAAGAAATTTTAGAAGACTTTTGTCTTTTGCAAGGTGTGTTTTGTACATGTAGATTTCCATTACACTCTACCCACACAACCCACTGATTCAGTCTTCATTGCCGATTATTAACACATTCAGCAGCTTATCCTACGGAGTCCAGTCAGATTGAAACAAAATGGAACCATTACTTTTACATTGTTTCTTTAAACAAAATGTCACTTCATATACTCATTGATTTTATTTACAAATGGGCTACCACTAAGTCCACAGAGTGCAACAAAAAGATTCAGAAGGCTTTGTAAAGGTTACAAATATAGAGCTATTCATATGTACAACATTCAGTCAGTTTGCATAGCAACAGCAGCCCTGCTGATTTTTGCACTCTTCTCCTATAAAAAAAAAAAAAAAAAAAAAAGACAGAAAACACAAAGGACAATGCTATGGTTAAGGACATGAAAACACACCTCATAATACAGAACCTTATCCTGGCTAGTTTTCAGGAAGCTTTCAGTTAAAGGCTTTCTGAAATTCCTTCCCGCCTATACATATCTGTATATAATTATAAAGTACTGGTGCGCTTTTGAAACCCTATCTTTGAGCCCCACATCCCTAAGGAACAAGGAGACAGCTACTTCAGTTGTAATAAAAATATTAAAGATGCAAAATACACAGTTCAGCTTCTATAAACCACATTACATCTAGTCATCACATGGCTACAAACAGTGATGGAATGAGGCTTGTTCCCCCTGCTTGGTTAGGGAATTGAATTTCCCTCATCCCAGGAACACAAAGATCAGTATCTTGGGAGCATTCTGAACATGTAAGGAGCCTCTCATCAGAGGCCATTAACTTTAAACCCCATCTTTGTAGTTATTCAAACTCTGGAAAAAGAAAGAAGGGGAAGTTGGAGAGATGATTGAGAGGAAGGGTATGGGAGAGAAACAGGAAGAAGTGACACAAGAGAAACTTGGCAGAAAAGTAATGGGAAGAGAGAAAGGCGTGCGCGGGAGTGTCTGGGGGAGGGAGGTGACAGGTGAAGGACAGGCTGGGCCGATGACCGGGCACTGGGCCAAGGAGGATGTTAAACGATATCGTTCTCTGCCCTCGGTGGCCTGCTGCTTGCTCCTGCTGCGGTGGGTGCCGCTTGGCGGGCTCTGTCCCCCGCCCCGAGGAAGGCTGATTAGAAACCGCTCTCGCAGGCGGAGGTGTCCTCAAGCTCCCGGGAGTCTGAGCCGGGCGGCGGCGCTGGGGTGCAGAAGGCGGCGCGCTGGGCTCCGGGGGGCGGCCCGTCCTTCGGGCGGTGTCGGTGCGGGGCGCGGTGGTTCGGCCGGCGGCGGGGCTCCCGCTCGGGGCCGGGGCAGCAGCAGGTCGGGCCGGGCCCCGCACTGCAGAGGCTCCTCTGCAGACGGCGCGCCCAGGGCCGGTGGCTCTGGAAGAGCAGATAGGCGTAGGGGTTCAGCGCGCTGTTGGTCACCGCCACGATGCCGAGCGCGGCCCGCGCCTCCCGCAGCCCGGCCGCGGCCGGGGCCTCCCCGCCGGGCCCGAAGGCCATGCTGAGCTCCAGCACGAAGCGGGGCAGGCGGCAGAGCGCGAACAGGGCGATCAGCACCAGCGTCAGCTGCAGCGTCTTCACCCGAGCCCGGGGCATGGGGCAGCTGGCGGCCGGCAGTCCGAGCAGCAGGGGCCGCGCGGCCGGCAGCCCCAGGCGGCGGCGGCCGCTGCCGCCTACCCCCCGCGCCGCCGGCGGCTTCTCCTCCTGGGCGGCCCAGAGGGCGAGGAGGATGCGGCCGTAGGCCCAGCACAGCAGGCTGACGGGCGCCAAGAAGCCGGTGACGGCCCCGTACACGCCGTAAGCCTGGCCGTGCCAGCGCGGGAGCTGCTCGAAGATGCTGAGGCAGCGGCTGCCCCCGGGGCGGGAGGCGAGCCTGAACACGAAGGCCTGGGGCAGGGCGAGCAGCAGGGCCAGCAGCCAGCCCAGCGCGGCCAGGGCCCGGGCGGGCAGTGGCGGGTCCGCCGGCCGCCTCACCACGTGGTGCCGCTCCAAGGCGATGAGCACCAGCACGTTGGACGAGGCCAGGAGGCCGGAGCCCTGCAGTAGCTTAAGCAGGCGGCAGGCGGCGTCCCCCGCCGGCCAGGCGGCCCCCAGCAGCTCTGCCGCCAGATGCGAGAACAGGGCCAGCCCGCAGCCGTAGAGATCGGCCAGCGCCAGGTGGGCGATGAGGAAATCCATCTTCCGCCGCCGCCGGCCCCGGCCGCAGCAGCCACAGCAGCAGAGGCGATGCAGCACCAGGCAGTTGCCCAGCAGCCCCAGCAGCAGGATGGCGGCCGCGGAGATCACCTGCACCTGCCGGCCAAGGGAAGGCCAGCGCCGGTCCCCGGGGGAGGAGGAAAGATTCAGGCTCCAGCCTGGCTGCAGGGCACTCGAGAGGTTGAGTTCCGGGGAAAATCTGTCTAGGCTGAAAGGGTCTTCCATGGCTCCCAGCAGAGTCCCAGCAAATGGGGGGCTGGAGTCTCGTGCAGGGCAGACCCAGGGTCCCAGGCTCTCAGCGGCCCGGTCCCTGCACGCCTCCCGGCTCGACTCTGCTCTTTGGGATACAAACTTTCTTGGGAAGCAAGAGAAAGGATTGCGCTACTGATGAATGCGCTTCCCGGCGACATATATAGGGGCTTTGCCTGTCATCTGGCACACAGAGAAGGTGGGCTGTGCATGCACACCGCAGCGAGCACGCCTATTATCTCCCCCCACCCCCCGAACCAAACAGCCAATTTCTCCCATACCACCTACTTAGGAACGTCTTCCCCAACCAAGCAATTAGCTTCTCACCCCACCCTAACAAAGCAACTATAGTACCCCTCCCCAACAACACAGTATCCCCACCCCCAGATCCAATCGCAACCATCTCCCCGCATCCCTGCAGTTTAGCAACCATCTCAATTCCCAACACCTGAACCAAGCAACAGTCTTTCCCCCCCCCCACCCCATCCCAAAATGAAACAGGTGTGGCCCTCACACGGCCCATACAATCGCCCGCCAGCCTCCATCTCCTCTCCAGTCCTTAACCAAAGTCTTTATTAACGTACCGGCGGTGAACAGATCCGAGCGCAGTCCGAAGTGCCCGCAACACACCTTCAAGCTCTCGCTGCCCTGCATCACCCAAAGCCATTTCCACCTCTGAGTTCTGTCTCGAGACTGCAGTAAGAGGAAGGGAATCTCGGACGGAGACAGCTCAGGCATCTGACCCGGGTTTTTAAACTGCGGGGCAATTTCAACAATCTTTCATACCAGACAAAATAAAAGGATTCTCAGTTCTGGGCTGTGTGTTGTTATTACACAGCCCCTGAGCGCAGCGTAAACACGAGGAAGTGCTAAAGAAATCAGAAATAAAGGGTAATGTGGCATCTTGTTTTAATCAAAACAAAATGAAGCTAAAAGCTGTTCAGGAGTCCCATTTATCAGAAAGCAGCCTGTTGAGCGCTTGCATTCTGTAGTTAGTGTCGTTTCCTGATGAAATACCAATCACCACCACATTGTACTTCCATGGCAATGCTTTGTTCAGGCATCTTTCAAAATATTTTCTTTTTTTCAACAGCAGTTCCTCCCCTTGGTATGATATGAAATATTAACCTAGAAGGGTAGGAAATTGAAAGGTTTTATATAAATGAGCCATTACTCATGTGAACTGGTTTGTGTTTTGATTCAAAGAACAAATCTCTCTCTTACACCCAATCTTTTTTAATAAAATTTCCACCAGATGGCACTTGGCTGCAGGGACGCCTCCATTCAACATAAGATAAAGTGACTCAGAAAATGCTAAAGAAAGGAGCCAAGTTCTTCATAAACTATTGAGAACAAACCAAATAACACAATCGGTTTAAAGTAAAAGGGGGAAATAACTTTTCTCCTTTTGACTCAGAGTTTTTACTTAATCTAATTGACGATACCTATAGCCTTTTGACTCTCAGAGATTAATCTAATTGCATCCTACAGGAGCTGGCAAATTGTGGGTTTGGGATGGATGTCCACACTTTGATAACTAGATACTGCCTTAGGAAATCACAACATTTTTTCAGCATGTATTTAGATTTTCATTGGTGCCCTGATCCCATCCCCTGGGTGCTATTCACAGAGATGGGTGTACATATTTCATCGCCTGAAAAATAGACTTAAAGCTCTTCAAAGATAGACACAGCCACAAACAACATTGGGGGCCAAGTGAAAAAAGAAATGTCCTTTCAGTCATGAGGTGCCATCCATTTTCTTTTCAAAGTACATGAAAAGTAAAACTCTCGAATAAACAAGAATAGCACCATCATATTTGAACCAAACATCTTCTATACTTACACTACCCACGTGACTTTGATTCACTTTAACCTGATAGTCAAAGGACATAAAAAAATATTGTAGCTATGCTGCAGAAGAACACGGTAATCAAGGGTCCTATCGTATGTGGGCCATTGACTTCAAGGCCTGTTGAGGACACTCCACCCATCACCCATCTGGCCCCCAGTGAGAGAAGGCATCGAGTAATTCAGCTGTACAGTACCCAACCAGGCATCAGATACAAACTGCACTTGGAAATAGGAACCTATCTAAGACCATTCTGCAAAGAGCAGGAAGGGGTCTGAGCTGGATGAGCATCCCAATGTGAGAAAATGCTGTGAATTATCAATCATAGGAAGATCCAACCTGTCCCAGTCAGAAGGAAAGCTGTCCACTTGTTTGCTCTCAGGTGCGATTCAACTAGTTAATTTTACTGACAGTAGCTTTGCTTCTGTTATTTCCTGTACATGTAGTATGTGGTTAATGAGACAGTCAAATGCTCTTCAGGTTCGGTGACTGTTATAATTAAGGGGTATGTTCACAGTTAACTCAGAAGCCCCTGGGAGGAAGGGGTTGTATAATTAAGTACCTCCTCCTAGTTGGATGATAAATTATCTGTGAGCATATGACCTGTGAGAGGTTACTGCTACCTTTCTGTGTTGAGGAATGTATTACATGTACACCGCTGCTCTATTGGGGCACTAAATAAATAGTTTTTGAACATTTCAAATATATACTGTACCAGTAAAATGATAAGACATTTATTTGGCTTTGTAAAATGTTTAGGTGTAATTAAAAATAACTCATTAGTAGATCAGTACAAAACTTATCAGATGCATATATGGAAATAAAATGGCCTAGTATCAAGGAGTATTACCAATTATGGTAAAAGAGCTCACTAGTGTGCCAACTTTTTTAAAAAAGGGGGGGTTTGAAACCATTACTGTCAGGAGATTTCCCACAAGATGTGGATCTGTAACAAGCAGGCTGGATTGATTTAAATAAAAGGGATTTAAAGCACCATTTTCAATCCTGATTTAAATCAGCAAGCAGGAAACTGTGACTAAAAACAAGGATTTTAATCATGTTTTGCATTTTACTTTTAGTTTTTTCCTAAAGAAAGGTTGATTCTCATTAGTTGGTAACCACTAACACATGTTGATTTGCAACTAAATATAGCCTTTATGCTAAATTTGGTGCTTCCTGTTTCTAACTAGGAGTATACACTATAGTTATACACATTTATTTAAGCAGTTGTATAGCTTAACTTACATTTATTCAGATACTTAATTTTTGCATTTTTATTGTATTAGAAAACAGTGAATGATCCATTTCTTATTATTAGATGATTATTATTAGAAGCCTGGGAAACAAGCAGGGAGAACTGGAAGTCCTGGCACAGTCAAGGAATTATGATGTGATTGGAATAACAGAGACTTGGTGGGATAACTCACATGACTGGAGTACTGTCATGGATGGATATAAACTGTTCAGGAAGGACAGGCAGGGCAGAGAAGGTGGGGGAGTTGCACTGTATGTAAGGGAGCAGTATGACTGCTCAGAGCTTAAGTATGAAACTGCAGAAAAACCTGAGTGTCTGTGGATTAAGTTTAGAAGTGTGAACAACAAGGGTGATGTCGTGGTGGGAGTCTGCTATAGACCACCGGACCAGGGGGATGAGGTGGATGAGGCTTTCTTCCGGCAACTAATGGAAGTTACTACATCGCAGGCCCTGCTTCTCATGGGAGACTTCAATCACCCTGATATCTGCTGGGAGAGCAATACAGCGGTGCACAGACAATCCAGGAAGTTTTTGGAAAGTGTAGGGGACAAGTTCCTGGTGCAAGTGCTGGAGGAACCAACTAGGGGCAGAGCTCTTCTTGACCTGCTGCTCACAAACCAGGAAGAATTAGTAGGGGAAGCAAAAGTGGATGGGAACCTGGGAGGCAGTGACCATGAGATGGTCGAGTTCAGGATCCTGACACAAGGAAGAAAGGAGAGCAGCAGAATATGGAGCCTGGACTTCAGAAAACCAGACTTTGATTCCCTCAGGGAACTGATGGGCAGGATCCCCTGGGAGAATAACATGAAGGGGAAAGGAGTCCAGGAGAGCTGGCTGTATTTTAAAGAATCCTTATTGAGGTTACAGGGACAAACCATCCCGATGTGTAGAAAGAATAGTAAATATGGTATGGCTTAACAGTGAAATCCTTGCTGATCTTGAACACAAAGAAGAAGCTTAGAAGAAGTGGAAGACTGGGCAAATGACCAGGGAAGAGTATAAAAATATTGCTCGGGGATGCAGGAGTGAAGTCAGAAGGCCAAATCACACTTGGAGTTGCAGCTAGCAAGGGATGTTAAGAGTAACAAGAAGGGTTTCTTCAGGTATGTTAGCAACAAGAAGAAAGTAAAGGAAAGTGTGGGCTCCTTACTGAATGAGGGAGGCAACCTAGTGACAGATGATGTTGAAAAAGCTAATGTACTCAATGCTTTTTTTGCCTCTCTTCACAAACAAGGTCAGCTCCCAGACTACTGCACTGGGCAGTACAGCATGGGGAGAAGGTGGCCAGCCCTCTATGGAGAAAGAAGTGGTTCAGGACTATTTAGAAAAGCTGGACGAGCACAAGTCCATGGGGCCGGATGCGCTGTATCCGAGGGTGCTAAAGAAGTTGGCGGATGTCATTGCAGAGCCATTGGCCATTATCTTTGAAAACTCATGGCAATCGTCCGAGGTCCCGGACAACTGGAAAAAGGCTAATGTAGTGCCCATCTTTAAAAAAGGGAAGGAGGAGGATCCGGGGAACTACAGGCCAGTCGGCCTCACGTCAGTCCCTGGAAAAATCATGGAGCAGGTCCTCCAGGAATCAATTCTGAAGCACTTAGAGGAGAGGAAAGTGATCAGGAACAGTCAGCATGGATTCACCAAGGGCAAGTCATGCCTGATTAATCTAATTGCCTTCTTTGACAAGATAACTGGCTCTGTGGATGAGGGGAAAGCAGTGAACGTGTTATTCCTTGACTTTAGCAAAGCTATTGATACGGTCTCCCACAGTATTCTTGCCAGCAAGTTAAAGAAGTACGGGCTGGATGAATGGACTATAAGGTGGATAGAAAGATGGCTAGATCATCGGGCTCAGGGGGTAGTGATCAAT